CCTATTTTTACAACACCGGATATGATGTGATGGCTGATGCGGTAGGTATACCGAGGGGAGCGCCGAGGACGTCGCTTAAAAGAGGAGATGGGCGCTTGTATGACTGGCGGTTGCATTGGTATTTGTCTTGTCGTTGTGCTTGAGAGTTGGCCTTTGGGTTGGGTAGGAGAGTAATTGTAGCGTCTCGAGGCTTCCCACCGTGTAGAAAAAGGCATTAGGTGGAGCTGAATGCATGTATTTGAGGGAGAACAAGGGGGAGATCGAAGGCAAGCACATGCGTTCAATGGTCAAACGAATCTTAAAGCGAACTTCATACATCAGGTGTTCACATAAGCAAAGCATTACGGCAATCCAAAACCTTTTGCTTTCACTACATGCATTCGTCCCCAACTTAATGCGTTCTACTACCTAGCAGGAATTCTCGAGAGGCTGCATCAACGATTAAAAAGAGTTGCCTTGCCTTAGGGAAAGAATCGCTAACTCTATCAGAATCACATTTTTTCCTGGGCTAGTTTTACATTCTTTCCAGTAACACATTTGCACACGTTTGTGTGTAATAAGGAAGAAGGTTTTTACATGTTGGTAAAGTCCACTATAGAGTGAAACATGACCGCAGAGAATAGAGAACTGGCGCAAATAACAGAACCGCGTGTTTTAAATAAAGTCAGCCTGCAAGAAGTTTAAAACACTGGCATTTGCTTTTATAATTATCATTTGTTTATGTACCACCTCATTTAAAGAGGTAAAAGTGCAATCTTCAAATAGGTGTGCATTTCAGTCTTTGGATCAAGTATCGAAGTTGATTAGTCTGTGTTAACCTTACGTTTTTGTGTGGATAAAACACCGTTTACATTTATAATGAATGAACAAGTAGCCGCGATCTGTTAGGCCAAGCCAGGCAAAGCAAACCCATTTTTATTATTAACTTCTAATGCTATCCTCCCAACCACCAACACAATCAAATCCTCGAAACAAAAAGAAGGACTTTGAGATATGTCCACCTTCCTTCTACTCGCTGCAAATATCGTACGAATTGGGTGTTTGGTGTGTTGCAATGTAAATGAAGCGTCGCACGGATTGATATGAATGTGACGTTTCAAGATTTCCCATTGGGCTTAACTGGATATTTGCGTTTAAGCAGAAGGGGCGGAAGTGGAGTTATGGTCTGGTCCGATGGCCACCCCACCCAGCTAATGCTAGGTGGCTGTCATATTGACCGACATCAATGCATGTAAGTATTACGTTGCCACTCGCCCTTCTTGGCACAACCCTCCCCTCCCCACCCCCCCAACCCCCTCTCCCCCCAAGTACTATCAAAACGCATTCGGTGCTGCAAAAAAGTAAACGTCACGTACAACAGACGAGAGAACGTGTTTAGTCCTGCCATCAACTTCAAGTGGATCCAGAGTTATGGTAGACCTGAATGAAGGAGTCGGAAGAGAGAAACTTTTTTTGGCCGTCAGTTGTGCTCTAAGTCAGCAGTTGAATGTCTGACCAAAAAAAAGAATGCGTAACAGTGAAACGGGGTCAAACACAATCCCATGAGCACTGGATTGTAGCGGGCTGTCACCGGTGGCATTCATACGCGGGTGTGGTGAGAGGAGCTGCGGATTGATATTAGTCCGGTTGGTTCGTGGCAGTGCCGCTTCAGTCGTTAATAACATGTTCAGGAGTGAAGTAGATGCCAACGATAGACGTTGTTCTCAGTCCTGCCTAGACCGAGCTGTTCACCGTATTTACATTGTAGTTGTCACCAGGGTGGAGGCGGTAACAAATTTGGGTCCACCTTTGACAACCAGCAGTGCACCGTGCGGAATCGTCCTATTTTGCAGTAAAAGGCATTAGGCCTTTCTCCATATTTGTATTCATCTTCACTTTGTTTGTATGTGGTAGCCAACTGGTCATGCAAAGTCCGTATGCCTTCCCCTTTTTTCTAAGACCAAGCACTGAGCTTTACTCGACGCCATCTACTTCCCACTTGTTAACTGAAGTGACACCTGTCATGAATCACCTGGAAAGGTTTTATTTCGCAACTCCGTCTCATGGAGTCTGATGACTGGCGTGGATGGTGTTTTCTACAGCACTTAGCACGTTGCGATAGCTAGCGCGGGAGGGATATCGAGGGGACAGCAGTCAGGGGCGTCAATCAAAAGAAGAAAGACGCAAAATAATGCCTTACCAATTCGACTACTGTATAACTGACAGTCATTTTGGTATTTTTCTGGGTCTAGACTACGCGAGCCGAAACCCAATCTCTTCCCCTTCTCCCTGACCACAAGCATTCAATCTCGCTTAATGCTTTCTTCTACCAAATTGAAAATCTTTGGACGTTGCAGCTGTGGTCTCTAGGACACTTTGATGATTAAACCAAATCCGTGTTCAGACTTGCTGGTGCCTGGATCTAAAATTTTACCAACAGTAAATAAGGCCACCCCGTGCGAACAGCAGCAGTGATGGCTGGAAACTCACAGAATGCTTCAACTTGCTGTTGGTAGGCGAATGTCTAGGGACTCAAAATAGGACAAGAGGCTTTACAGTCTCACCCAACGCATCACTTACAATCATCTACTAGCAGATGCTATCCGGCTAAGTGATATCAACCTTTTTAGTAATTCAGATGGACGGCAAGTTAGCTGTTAAGGAGCAATGAAGTGACGAGAAGATGGCGATACACAATGCAAAGTCATTCTCATTTCTGATTGTAAAACACAGGTTCAGCAAATCGCCTCAATGCGCTTTAGAAGGAGAACGGGAGCGTTGGAAATCGTCGAAGGTTAAATAGCGTTCTTTTGTTTTCAATGCACCAACTTATAGTTCAAAGGTTAACGACTTCCAAATGTAGATGCAAATCATAGCCAAGAATAGAAACGAACTAGTAGTAAGAGGCCGTCATGTTTGCATTTTTTAAGTAGATACCGACGTTTACTAACCAACTGCTTTACAATCGGTTTTTGGAATTTTCATCGAGCAGGAATCAGCACAGTGGACCGCAAGAGTGGCATCGATCACGCAGGCGTTGGCAGTATGCAAAACTCGACTTTGGTGTGCTGCATAACACTCTTTTAGTTGGCAAAACGCTCTAGCAGTGCAGATTTAGGAACATAAAGGAAGATGGATGGAAAATTTGGTGTCTCGCTCTAGTTAATGCAACACTGAGTGAATGCAAAAATAGCTGTGTGACACTGTTTGTGTGGTCAACTGATATCTGACGTTTACTTTGGTATTTTGGCTGGACCTTGTATGCGTGGACTAGAATACGTGCATTTAGCCCATCTTAATGCCTTCTTCTATCAGGTGGAAAATCTCGAGGTGCTACTAAATAGACCTGGAAGGTGGTAAGTATTGTAACCTTTTAAGACCTTCTATTCCGTGGTTGAAGGCCATGGGCATGGCTGAACATTTATATTCAGACAAGAAGGGTAGAAGGAAAGCTAGAGTTTGGCTCTAAGAGCAATCCACACAACAGGAACAAGATGGCTGCCAAAGTTAATAAAAGAAGGATAATATAAGCGTTCATCTCAGCACAGTCTTCGGCAGGGTCGTTTCACTTGTCTGTGAGACACGGAAATAAAAAGCCGAATTTGCTTTTATTGCCACCAACATGGCCATCCGAGACTTTCCACAAAGAGAAGAAGGCATTTAGTAGCCTTGAATGTATGTATTCAAGGAGAAACGGAAAGGATTGGGTTTTTTCTTGACTTAGAGGCCACCCCACTTTCACAAGAACAAGACAAGCACTAAAGATGTAATACTTTTTTCATGCTACCACCTGTTATCTGACGGTTACTATTGCATTCGTTTTGGCCTTGTATGTGCAGCTGGCCTTCAAACAATGCCAAGACCCTATCTCTTAGTCTTCGCATGGAATGCATGCATTATACCCAACGCTATGCCTTCTTCCACCTAAGGAAGTCTTTGAATAGATATTTAGGGTATTGAATGGTTATCCATTTTAGTACAACTCCGGTAAAACCTGTATGGTTGACCATTGTGCATTCACTGACTTGGTTTTTGCCAACAGACGCGACTTTCTGTGCCATTTTTCGCCTGTAATATATGTGCATGAGGACAAATCCATAGAATGACATTAGCTTAGGTCCACCGATACTCTCCTTTCCTTTCCTCAAGGTGTCAAATAAACCTTTCTCTATCAACTGTCTGGTAAAATCAGAGGTTCAGGGTCGCCTGAGGGTAAACTGAGAGAGCCTATTTGAGTGCTTTGTTTATGTGACCACCTGATGTTCGATGGTCACTTTAGGATTTGGTTGGTGCTTGTACGTGTGAATTGGCCTTCGGGCTATGCTCAGACCTAGCCGCTTTGTTCTCTTTGGAATACATGTACCCAGCTTTACTTATTGCCTTCTTCCACCCGGTGGGAAGTCTCGAGACGCCAAACTGCTGACCTCTGGCGGTTACTTATAGACTTGACTGGTTCTTTTAAGCGTGGGCTGACCATTGAGCCATGCTCAGTCCTAAGTACTCCGCCCCACTTTGAATACATGTACTCAGCTACACTTATTGCTTCTTCTACCCGGCGGAAAATCTTGGGACACTATACCTATATCGGCAAACATATATACCCAGCTAAAACATTTTGTCTTAATCATCCAGGTAAAACCAGACAAAAGAAGATCGTCGGACGACATTTTATGATATTTTGTTTTAAACTCATGTGTAGACAACTTATTAGCAAAAAGAAGGAAGCCTCCGCTAGCAGTTAAATCCAAAAAACTCAAATAGCGTAATGTTATATTCCTTTGTTAGGACAGGATCCATGCTTGTACATTTTTCGGGTTCACTAAAATATGATTAGTCAGCACTTTTGGGAAATACATATATATACACGTTTTCATGTCAGAATATATGCTGTCATAATCTTAGTAAAAGAGTATGGAAAACCCCGATCTTCATTTCGTTTTTGTCTTTTTATTAATTCATGAGTTGTTTGTATTAGTTGCGGTTCATAAGTGTGCCGTTAGTGCAGGTTACGAAGCTTGCCGATGAGGATGAATCGGTCGCGGTTGTACAAAAATACAGGGAAGGATAACGATGTTTGTGGGATTTCTTCGAGTTTTATCTGGTTTTAGGAGCTTAGAAGAAGGAGGACTGACCAATCAGTTGAGCTTCGGAAGGCTAAAAAGGAACAGCAGCTTCAAAAGAGACGCAACGTTGTAGTAGAATTGGAAAAGACGTCGCCATTAAAGGATCATTCTGTATGTTACCTTAGGGCAATTCTGACTCTTGTTAGGAAACGTCATCACCACCTCCTAGCTACGACGAAATCGTTGCTGATATGAAAAGTTCAGATGTAAACGTTGCGCTGGCTGCCACGCAGACTTGTCGTAAAACCTTGTCAAAGTTAAGAAATCCTCCAATTGATGAATTTTTTGAGAGAGGTGCTCACAAGATCCTTGTCAAGTTACTTGATTCCGAAAGGTATGTTGAAAATTCTAATCTGATGGAATTATAGCGATGAAATGATTTTCGAGGCTGCATGGGCGCTTACAAACATCGCTTCCGGTGACTCGTACCATACAGGAGGAGTTGTTGAAGCAGGTGCCGTGCCTAAGCTGATTCGGCTCTTGCACCATTCTGATGTTCGTATAGCCGAGCAATGTATATGGGCCCTAGGAAACGTTGCCGGTGACGGGACGAAGCATCGGGATATGGTTATTCGACAGGGTGTTGTGGAGCCATCCTTAGAGTTAGTCTTGTTTTGTGTTTGGATTAAATGTCTCCACACCTTGCATTTAGGTCGAATTTGTTTCACTACCTTGTAGGCTATTGCGACGCTCATGGGACTCTCCAAATGTTGTTTCAAATGTTGCCTGGATGTTATCCAACTTGTGCCGCAACAAGAACCCTGATCCGCCCCTTTCTACGGTACGAGAGCTCCTTCCTGCTTTTGCAAGGCTTCTGATGTATCCACACAGCACAGAGGCCGTTGTGGACACCGCTTGGGCGCTATCGTATGCGAGTGATTGTGGCGGCGCGTTTATCGATGAGATTCTCAAAAGCGGCTGCGTCTATATTTTAGTTCGTCACCTTGGCTCGGACTTCGTGAGTCTGCACCAGATGTGCTTTCATTGCTTTGCTTTCTCTGTTAAAGCCAAGATTTATCCTATTTTAGTCTAACCTTGTATCTCCAGCTCTGAGAACCATTGGCAATCTTATTCTCGGTACTGATCAACAAACTCAGGACACTATCGATTGTGGTGTAATGCAATATGTTCCCAAACTTCTTAATTCCAGTCGCTCAAATGTTGTTAAGGAGACATGTTGGATGCTAAGTAATATAACTGCTGGCAATTTGGATCAGATCCAGACAGTACTTGACGCTGGTGTTATTCCGAAAATCCTCGATATTATGCGGGAGGTAAGCCATTGAATCGATTTCCAGAAATTGTGGCCATCGTGACTCGGTTTATTCCATCTAGGCTGACTTCAAAGTACAAAAAGAGGCCTGCTGGGTTATAAACAATATCGTAGTTGGAGGGTCGCCTGAACAACTGGCCTTCCTGTTGAATCTTGGGGTTCTTGACTCTCTCAGTAAGATGCTGACAGTGACCGACCCTGGAATGATAAGACAGGTGCTCGCTACGCTTAAGAAAATATTTGAGGTCAGTGAGGTTTGAAGTGTTTACTTTTGCATAATCACGCGTCTATCACAATTGAATTACATGACTTCAGACTGCTGAAGCTTACAACCAGTTGGAAAACTGTTGTCTCGCCCTTGAACGTTGTGGAGCCCTGGGCACCCTTGAAAAGCTACAAGATCACCAAAACGAGGAGATCTACCTAGAGGCATACGACTTCATCTCACTGTATTTCAACGACGAGGTAATTCCGTGATCGTTTGTCTATTTGTTTCCTACCCTTAGGAAGAGGAGCAACCTCACTTAGCCACTGGTGAACCCAGCAACAGCATTGCTAACGTTGATACACCTCAGACACACTCCGACGAGTTCCGCTTTCAGCCCCAGCAAACAGGACCCGACTTCGATTTCTGATCGCGACATCGGCTTATTTTTAGCCCTTTGTATGTAATTTTAAAATAAAATTGGCTTGTAAACTAATACACTGGCTCTGAAGAGTTAAGCCTCATATTTAGGTTATGAACTTGAGGTGTGCAGTTAAAGATGGTTGCAATCTTAAGGTTGGTTGGGTGCTGTTGTTCACACTACTGCTTGCTATGGGGAAAGGTCGCGACGGCGAACCTCGAAATGTGCAATAAGACTGAGTGGAGCACAGGGTTTATTATCAATGTTTACGAATAATATCGAGGAGGAACTGCTTGCCTGTTCTCCGAACTGAGTCCTTGACTAGTCGTCGGTCTTCAATCCACTTCTTTTTTACGGCTGCGGATTGATCGATCTTGAAATACTCACCCCCTGCACTGCTATTTGAAAAGAATGATTTTGCCTGACATTGGTGCTTTTCTTCATCATGCGCGGGTGCCTGGACGTCTAATTCCTGCCAATCTTTTGCCTGCTCGGAGATTTCAAAGTCAAACACAAAGGCCTTGCCTCTAGGGTACTTATAAACGAGTTTAACTTACTCATTCAAAACATTTGTCATACTGCCAGAGAACAAAACAAGTCACCGTTCGGGTTTAGGATTCATGGTCCAAGTAGGATTTCGTAAAACAACCTATGTAAGTTAAAACGAAGTCACTACTATAATTGCTCTTAAGCTATATAAGTTCCAAATGTTTTTAAAAATAGCACGTATTTGGGTTCATTTGCGATCCAGGCTTACCCATGGATCTTGCGCATAAAACCCAAATATTGTTTGGTTCATTTTGAAGGGCATAAATTTAAAGATATTCAGTAACGCAGTTCCTCATCTTTAATTATTTGCATTCTGTTCTGTGAAAGGAGTTGCAAAAAATCATCTAATACCAACAAAAAAAGGTCTTTAAGCAGGTGATAAAATTCCACTCATCCAATTGAGATTTAGTTTATATCAGTCAATAGTTAGGGGTTACCATGCCTTCCTTCCACGTCGTCTACATTATTTCTACATAGTTACCTAGTTTGTGCAACCAATTCCAAATCTCTTACAGCATATGGGTCGAAAATCACGTCAGTGCATAACTCTACATATGCAAAACTATTTATTTGATCACTTGGCATCTGGCGGTTACCTTGGTGTTCATCTTCCCTTACACATGTGGGAAGCCAAGATTCATCCTCCTTTAACCCCCTTAAACTACATGCGTAGATGTCGGAGATGGGACCGCACTGAATTTTGCCTTCTATAAGGGATCGTGTGTGATTCTGTTTTCCCTGTTACACATCTGCTTTAGATCAGTGTTCCAACATCTAATTGTAGACACGATTGATGATCAGGAGAAATTCACCTCGATGATTCCTGCTCCCACACCGAATGAATTCCATGTCCAATGGGAGGTGATGAAAAGGACGATTACAGGGCCTCACTCTCACGGTAGCTGATGTTTGGCGTGGCTGCCTCATGGATGCCTATTTTTACAACACCGGATATGATGTGATGGCTGATGCGGTAGGTATACCGAGGGGAGCGCCGAGGACGTCGCTTAAAAGAGGAGATGGGCGCTTGTATGACTGGCGGTTGCATTGGTATTTGTCTTGTCGTTGTGCTTGAGAGTTGGCCTTTGGATTGGGTAAAAGAGCAGTCTTATCCCCTTACCTTAACTGCACGCATTCGTCCTTAACTTACTGGTCAGCTTAGTATAATCTTGGGGAGCTACATTCGACATCGTGCTTGGCTCTATCTTACCAACGTTAAGTAATCAGTCATCCTCTTTCATGTGTAACTTTATTCCTACTACTCTTTCATGTGTGAAATGGAGCTATACCCACACCGTCTGAAGCTCTTTAGAGCTGGTTATGGCCACCACCATCGGCGCACTGCTATCTCCAACACACAATTCTACTGCGGTCTTAACTATCTACAAACGTATACCATTTCCACTCCGTGGGACGTGTAGCTAGTCTATTTTACCCTAAGTCTTCATCTGTCACGAATTAGAGATATAGGAGTGTCACTTTTTTGTATTTCTTCGGATACCACAGGTATAAGAAGTAGGCAAATCAAATAGTACACGCAAATTCCACATAGGGCCGCGCCAAATTTTCAGTGTTCACAGTGAAAGCATAGATTGATAGATAGTAATACACACTCACAGAGATATAAAAGGATGAAAAGGTAAAAATGGGAGGGCCTAAGTTTACTGCTCAGAAGGGTAGCTGGCCGCCTTCATCACTGTAGCCGTCGAGGCGGCAGTCACGAATTCTCCAGGTTCCGAAGCAGACCGTCTAGTTTCTGCATGAGTGCTGCAAGATGTAGAGGTGTTAGAAGTAGATGGTGAGGAAGGTGTTGCGTTCCTGTCCATGGGGGCTGGAGCAGGAGTGTATCGGCCACGCGTTGCCTCCGAGTTCGTCTTACTAACGTGCTCTGCGGACGAGACGGAGCTGACTCCTCCACCCCCAGCCCCGGCTGAGGAGAGACAAGGAGAGGTAAAAGGAGAAGGAAACTTAGTAGTTGTCAATCGGGTGAAGAAACTCTCCAATTGATGCAAAGTCATTGCGTTGTGCAGCGTCTCCAGTGGATAGATCTCTGGCACGCTTGGTGCACTGGGTACCATAAGGTCTGCTGGGTTTTGGGGAGCTGTGTAAAATGCAAAATGCAACTCATCGGTTGTAATAATCACTAAAATGAGTATCTTTTGAGGGAACGCATACTTTCAGTCTGAGATTGACCATCACTGTCGGAGCAATTTAGTAGCTGGACGAGGTCAGGAACACTGCTTGAATAAGTGTCGCGTGATCCACGAATCACTGCAGTGCTGATGAGCCCGCGATGACGTCTTTTGCAACAGGGAGAGCTTGTATCTAATGACGGTAAACAAAAATGAGAAAATCGTGAACCAACGCAATAGAGGAGCATATGTACAGTTCTGCAGTCTCTATCTCATACCTCCATAAAATAGGCTTCGGACAAAATGAAGCAAATTTCATCTATATACAATATTTAGTGCAGAACCCAAAGCATGCATCATTGCTATGCATGTTTTGGGGGAATAAGTCTACAATAAATCACATTCTCAAAGCAACCTCGCTTACAGAGTACATTGCTATCACAACCGATGAGGATGGCTCTGCCTCCATAGACAACATTAACTGATAAATTCATTTTGAGTGGGTTTAAGTGCGTTAAAAAATACTTTAGAGTTTTTAAATCAAATAAACCAATTACCACATGTGTCTTTCCCAAGAGGGCACTGTTGCAGTTCTGCAATAAAAACAAACGACTGTAAGCGATGAACGATTTGGCATATTCAATCTCGCTACTGAATAAATTTCATTAGGTAATGAGTGTTATCAGACATTGCTTCCTTTAGAGTTATGCCCAATTCTGTGAAAATCGTCAACGATTTAGTTTAAATCGACGCTTTTATAGGTAGTACAATATTCTTTTTAAGCAATTTAAGCGTGCATTTCAACTATTTCACATAGTTCAAACTAAATGAGTTGTGTATAGATGCACTTCTTTTGACAACACTATCTTAAATTCTCTCATTGAGGAGTTCTACTCCATTGTCATCAAAGTTATGCTGATTTACTTCAACACAAAGACAACAATAGAAATCGAGCTTACCCTTGAAGTCGATTTGCATTTGATAGTTTGGATAGGTGAGAGCATTTAACTCTTTCGTATCCAGACCATTAACATCATGATGCAGGGCATTGGAAGAGCCCTCCCTTGAATTGTCTGATGGTGCTTCAATGTGCACTGCCTTGGGCACAGAATTCCTCATCAAAATTGGAATATTCTCCACTTCCACATCCCCTTCTAATGTGTTTTCAAAAGGCTTCTTAGGCATCATTTGAACATCTTCCGTGCGTGATGGCATTGTTTGGTCTGCCAAATTGGGACAAAAAGAAACAGATGTTGGAGAAATCGAGAAATGCAAATCACATTCGTCGCGATCCGACCATTGACACAGTGCTGCGGAATCTAGCCTTTTACCTCAATTCATCTTCCCACCAAACTGCGAGTAGCAGCAAAGCAATACCTTGATGTCGTCTATCACATCAACTCAAGCAAGCAACTGAACAAAGTCAGTTGAACAGATGCTGCAATTTCCCGTGACATAACTCTTTTCAGCATGCAAACTTAGCACATTCCACGTAAAAATAACTAGTCTGGTTTGTCTTCCTATGTCATGGCCTTCTAGCTACTAGACTCAAAGTGATTGAGTAGGTCCGAAAGAGAAGGGGAGTGGAGGAAGAGGAGGATGCAACAGCATAACAGTGAGTGCTTACTCAGCCCTCGATGATTGTCATGACAACTAGATGCCTTTGGAATCTACAAAAAAGAGAAAAGTCATGAAGGTGAGTGATCCCAATCGAAATTAAGCAATAACATTCCACACATCATCTGATTGTCCACAGGCACAGCGCCCATATGAAGGTGACGTGCGAGGCTGGCGAAACATAATAATGCAAAGGTGAATCAAACTAAAGTGTGAAGGCGGAACAAAAGATTGCAAGTGATTCGTTTTTGAATGTGCAATCTGGGATTCACCACTTATGAAATCCTAAAAAGCTGGATTGGTAATCTAAGGAAGACCTATGCTAACACTCTCGTGCACAATTCAAGTCCTCATCAGCTCAAACACCTTGCCATTAAGTATTTTTAGGATTTAAAAAAATTAGATGCTAGACTCAACAAAAATGGAATCTCTGGACTTCAAATTCATTCCAATTTGCTTAATCAAGAAATGCACTCCATGCAACCAACTTTTAATGCATGCAATAGTGTGAAAGATTATCAAACTATGCTTGATTAATCGTAGTTGCAAGCCCAGCAAAATCAGGATTAGGTGATCATTTTGAAGCAATATCAAAGAAAGTGTGTAAAAAAATTCACACCCATTCTACCACTGAGGCACAAGCATCGGCCTTGAGATAGTCAGCTGCAGAGAGAATGGGTTTATAATCAACGGGTTTAAGGGATCCTCGATGCTCTTGTTGCTCCACCTCCACCTCCACCTCCCCTGTCTCATCTTCATCCCCTTGAGATCCAACTTTGTTCCATTTGGCTTTCTCAATTTGATCAAAGTACTCCATCAACCACTGAGCCACTGGTGCGCCCTGATTAAATAACTCCTTTGCCCGATCTGGTTTCACTGAGTCTAATGAGGTATAGACTTGTGCTATTGTGGCCGAAGTCTCATCGGTGCCATCTCCGCCTTCTTCACCGCCCTCTTTTGCACCGCCACTCTCTACTCCAATGCCTGAGGACTTCTTCTGAAGTGGACAGAATTCTGGTGGTTGATCACCAAAACTCATGCGTCGTGAGATAGGCGTGGTGATAGTAGAGAGTGGAGAGACATCAGTTCGACAACGCCACTTCACCGGAGAGCCTGGAGTTGTTGCCGAAAAGTATCTCGATTTTTCTACCTTTGATGATGGTGAATTCGATGATGGCGATGACCTCTTACTAGCCAAGGGCGTAGCAACAGCCAAATCAAGAGTGGAATGAGATGTGGAAACCTCGGATTCTCCAGTTATTGCAATACCATCCTCATCCAAATCGATAGTATCAGTGAACCAAGATGGACTCCGTGGATTTCCAAGTGGTTGTGGTTTTGATGATGACGACTCTTGTGAGGAGGTGACAGTGAATCTGCCATGTTTCTGAGATAAATGCGCTGAAGTGGGTCTCGATGGAGGCTGTGAAGCATTTCCTCCATTCAAATCAAGTGCACGTTGAGGAGGTTTGCATAGAGTTGTAAGCGTCTTTTCTAGCCATGTCGTATTACCTTCACTCACGGCATGCTCCACCATAGGTCCTGTGCTCATAGAACGCTCAGATCCGCGTTTAAGGTTGTTTTGTTGTTGACGATGCAAATTTCGCATATTATCCAACCACAACTCATGCATTCGTGATCGATGCCCCATTACTGCGTCCTGATTCACCACATTGGCGTAACACAGACCCGAGACGTTTTCTTTAGGACGGTAGATGGCAGAAGTTTGTCGTGAAAACCGTTGACTTTTTCGGTGTTTCTCACAATGCAATTTGCTTGACACCTTGTTGATGGTAGAGGTGGTAGCACCACTAGTGGCAGTAGTAGTATTGGTGGTAGCAGCTGGCGGTTCTGAAATTCTGCCAACTTCGTGCAAATCAGAGGGGAGTGAACGATCAATGCAGAGACTGCGACAACTAGTCACGGTTGTCTTGCCTACTGATTGATTACGAGAGGAGAAGACGATTTTGCGAGAGGAGGCTGTAGGAGGAGAGTGGCCTGAGGTGGCATCCACACCCGCATGCTCACTGGCTGAGTCAAAACTCGTCTCGGCAAGGGAGGTGGAGCTACTAAGCAAGCTGGTCTGTGAGCAACAACCGTTCTGGTTCCATGCACACAAGTTAGAAGCATGAGAGTGTAAACACATTCGAACAATGTGAAGTAAAAGTGGGTGTGAAATCAAATAAAGCAAAGCAGGACATGCAATTTCCGTATTAAAATAAAAAAAATAGAGGGATGGAGGAGGAGGAAGGATGGGTGGAGAGGGAGGAATGGAGGGAATAAATGAAAAAAAAAGATTAATTTCAGAGAAGAGAAGTATCTGTAAAAACTTGAACAAATTCAGTAGCTGATGATAGTTGATCTAATTTTATCCGAAAAAAAACTGATTATTAATACCAAACAACAACAACAACAAAAGAAATTTCATGCCCTATGAAAAGTCATATTTGAATTCACACAACTGATAAGTTAACATGCTTGACAGCCACCATGTCAGCGGAGCCAAGCAAATCTACACACATGTTGTTGGTAGCGAACGCATTGATAATACAAAGTGCAAAGCCGGAAAATATCTACCCTCGAGGCGGTATTCGGATCGCTTTCATCTCCATTAGCCTCTCTTTTTTTTCGCAAAGAAAACAATTCAGACTAATCTGATACATGAGATGCCTCAAAGCGAGAGAACGGTTGACATTGCAACTGTCTCGTTGTGTCGACCGCAGGAGGGAGGAGAGTAAAATTACAAAGCACAATACACAGATCTAGAACGGAGATTTCAAAGCAAATCCACCTGAGTCAAAGAAGAGCATTAAAGAGTTGCGTCTCTTGACATCGTACCAGTAATGTCAAGTGTCTGCATAGCCAAGCGCTCATGAAGTGAGAGAAGATCGGGAAAAGTGTATAGACGGATTGACTGACAGAGAGAAAAATAAAAAGGAAAAATTTGGACTTAACTTCGAGGATAAGTGGTTCAGCGTACAAACGCAAGTTGATGGATACAAAAAAAAAAAGACAAGGCAAATGGAATGAGACTAACCTCTCGTCGACCAGGTCTAAAACCCGAGCCAGCGGGCAAATCTCGACACAGGGCATGCGCTCCGGGACTGAAGTGCAATTCTACATGAAATTTCTTCTCGGTTTTGGGTTCCTAAGGAAGGAGAGGAGGAGAGTGGGATGACTTTTGCGTACCCTCGCTATTCCATTACATCCAACAGATGAAAAATACACAAAGAGATCACATGAGGAGGCTAGAGATGTTCAAGTTAGGTGTAGACTAAATGAGAAGAGGAGGAGGAGGAGGAGTAGGAGGGATGAGAAGATAGCATTAAAAAGTCAACATTTTAGATTAACGAATACAACTTTGAGGTTGTTCAAGGAAATCTATGAGCACGATACCATTCCAAAACAAGTCAACACTTTGATCTGAAGCCTTTTAACTGTTTCACTTAACACCACCGAAGGTAGCTCAGATGCAAATGGAGGCAGTAAAATTTTGTAAGTCTAACTTATTCTAACTGCAGTTAATTCATGCAAGAAAAGGAAGAAGATGTGGGGAGAGAAGTCCTGGAGATGGAAGGCATCCATAATCCTGTCCATAATGGAGGACGGATACCCAAAATCCCGCCATGGATGAAAACCAACAGACACCATCAATGCGAGAATCAAAAGCAAGTCAACAGTATTCCACAAAAGGGCCAAAAATAAGTACCACAAAGTTGAATTTGACGACCAAAAAGGCACTTTCAAGTCATAGAACATGCGTCCCTCCAATTTATTCCCACATTACTACTGCATAATGCTAGTGTTGCAAGCTTTGAATGGCTAAACCCAAGTGAGGGGATTTGAATATGCCTGCATTGGTGAGCGAGTCTAACAATGATTTAAAGGGGACGTTGAAATAAATCAGTCAGGATAATAGATGAAGTGAGTGAATGAATGGACAAGGGTGAATGAATACGGGATGAATAGGTGAATGCACAATGGTTGAATGGATAGAGACAGGAGAAAAAAAACATTGGGCAGATGGACACATTTTGGATGAATGGATGGATGTATAGAATGGTTTGTGAGATGGATACGAGATGAGTGAAAAGAAGACCTCGCCTTACGTTAGTATTCATTTCATGGATCTGGAGTAAGCAGTAAAGATTGACTTTCAATAGTACTTTTCCATAAATAGTGCAAGACTTTACTTATAAACACCTCAAGTGGGAAGGAAAGAGACTTGAACGCTTTCAAGAAGCACCTTGGAATGATTTACCATTTTTGATGTGATTAAGTGTAGAGAATAATAAAAATATACCAACTGTAATGATAATGTCTGTTCGTGAAGAGAATACCCACGATGACCCGCCAACATAGCAAGCCTAGAAATCATTTTTCACTGCCATAAAAGTACATTTTGCTATTCCAGCATCACATTGGAACGCCTCGATTAGCAGTGGTGTCACAGTTGCGTGGCCCGTCACATGGTGCACGTGACACACAAGTGCATTAACTTGACAAGAGGATTAAAACTACAGCCAAATTATTGATGCCAGAAAAATAAGGCGGAAGAGAATTTGAGGATTGAAGGAATGTTCCTCATAAGTGACACTCACTCTCTCCCCTTCCCAACAATTGCTCTCATCAAAGTAATGAATAATAACCAAGTCCAAGAGACCTTCTCCTTGTTTCTTTTTTAGAAGTACAAGTTATAATGCACATTTTAGTGCAAACACCAAGGGGGAATAGGGGTATGAGAGGGACACAACATCCACACTGACAGCTACAGAAGGTCCTAGCCACTCCCTTCGCCCTCTTCCACGCACATGGGGATGGCAATATCGTTAAATAAAAAGTAGTACAATGGAAAAAAGGGCGCTCAAAACACTATACGTAACAAATGGTGTTATCACTATGCTTCAATGTGTGTGACATTTGGCATGTTTACACTATCAACACTACACTTATGGGTCCACTCGCTTTCCATTCTGGACGCCTATGATAATCACCGCCAAAAAATGCATCCCCTCATGTCATCGTCACAGACACACAGACCATTGTAATGACTTTTTGGTAAGATTAATAGAAGTAAAAATGAAAAATACTAACCTTAGTTCTAACACAAACGACGGAGAAGAGACCGTGTGTTGTGCTTTTTAGATAGGTTAGAGGAAAGCACATTCAACTCTCTCCACTCACCACAGTAGGATCCTCGTAGATCATAATGACCACCTGAGAGAGGTAGTTGAGCTCGGGCACAGTGCTCACGTAGTCCATTGCTCGTTTCCACTGTTCATCTGTGGCCGCATCTGCCAGACCTCCATGTTCCAGACAGGTGAGAATGGAATGCAGATGACTCTCACTCGTGAAGTATAATCGAGTCCGTACAAAACGCTCTGGTGAGGCGACACCCTTGGAATAGCTATATGTGTGTAATGACATCAAATTATCTTCACTCAATAACTTTTAGGCAATGATAGACATCTTTGACGTGATATGATAATTCCAACTCAGTTTGAGTGTTCACCATCAATTATCATTTTTTTTAAGGAAAGTAAAAATTCTAATGGTATGTTTAAATAAATCCGAAAAAAAGTAATATTTAAGCAAAGTTGTACCAATTTCGGCCACACCGGAAGGGAGTAGAGAAAACAGCTTCAGGAAAAGCACATACAATTAGCACTCAAAGTCTGGCTTCATCCCAAACACACTTTTTTTGTTGCTTACCTCCAAAACTATCCGCCTCAGGACTTTTTCCAGGGCGTGTGGTACACTCTTCATCACTCCACTCCAGATGTGAGAAGAGCAGAAAACTTTTAGATCGTCCAAACTCTATTTCAGTACAACTGCAACCATTAAATGAAACTCGAATGCCTTGGTGATAGATTGTCCCACCGAAAAGCAAACACACAAACAAACAAAACCTAAGGTGTGGTACAACTTAAATGCAAACAATGCAGGCTTTTCACACCTACCTTAGACCCAAAGTGTAAGAGTAGAAAAAAAAATCCTGATGCTTATTTACCTATCGCATGGACGTGATAAATTAATTGTTTGTTTAGCCATCGGTTCCCCTAGGAAGCTCCGCCATTTTATACCTCTACCGGATGGATTGCTTCACGATGGCATCGTTTCGGCTTTGGGGGAGTTGTAAAGCCAAACTCCATTCGAAAGCTCAACTAGTCCGACTTATACTCCTGAATGCTACACCTCAGAGTGAGGGCAGAAGCTTCCCTAATGGGGCTCATTTTTGACAACTGCCCCCAATCGCATGGGCTGCAGGGATTCTGTCAACAAGTTATGCGACAGCACCGTGGATTCTGTAGGAAAGTACGTCTTAACGAACCCTCTCAGGGAGGGGGGGGGCAATATAAATTAGTAAATAGTTGATTAGGAAACTTGGACTTCAAAGGCTACCCTTCTCTCCAACATCGTAGCAGTGGTGTTAAAATAACTGACAGCTAAAGATTCATGGTAATATTGGCTAAAAAATGGAAGTGTTGGATGTGAGACAAAAAACAGGGAAGTTGTAGAACCTTATATTAAAGTAAAAGTCTCTGAAAGTGGCGAACATGAAGTTAAATTTACCTTTTTATGATAATGAGTAAAATGAAAAAAAAAGGCCTTACAAGAAGGAGCGAAAAGTTCTGCGGTAGACCGGGCAGGTTAACCTCACATTTTGCAATGCAGCACCTAGGGCTTAGGAGCTGCAGACGATTGTCAAACCTCAGATCAAAATGTTAAAGTAGGGAGATAAAGTGTGAGGTGGATCAGGGCTCCTCTTCTTCAATAAGCGCCGCGCACATTAAAGGAGTTAACGTGCCAAAACGGCTATTTGATGGAAAGCAAGAAACGATTCCACCAAAGCCATCACATCAAGAAATAATGGTATGAGAGAGAGAGAGAGAAAAGGGAGGATAGTGACAAAGTTGAAGTGTAAGACCACACACCGCCACACCACACCCACCTTCATTACACCACACGGCGCCGGATAGTTGGATCGGAGCCAGTTTTTCTCTGGCCGTCAACAAGTTAAAAATTTCGTTCACAGTACATGCAAGCCTTAGTTGGAGAGGAAGAGATAGATTGATAGACCTTCAAGTTCCCCTTTATCCCTTTCTAAAAGTGACAATTAGGTGATCAGGTGCCATGCAATGCAGTGCAACTGTGTTTATCACATCAGTTTTTTGGCAGCGAGTTGCAAACTCAATCCGCAGACCAGACTGACTGGAAA